TGCGAATTACTATATTTTTAGTTGGTCATTTTTATTATTACTTGTGTAAGTCCGTGGGGATTTTTAATCCATTAGTCTTGTTCGAGGCCATGGATCCTCTTGGTTCATATATATATATATATATGAGAGAGAGAGAGAGAGAGAGAGAGAGAGAGAGAGAGAGAGAGAGAGAGAGAGAGCTCTACCACCTCTGGTTGAAGATGGCGCTTCACCAAGAAGCTATGGTTTCATTAGTGTTCGTTGTTGTTGATTATGTTAGCTGCAATGCATGTGTCCCAAAATTTTGCATTTTTTCAGTTATTGTTCTCTAAGCCATGGAGATGAAAAGTGTATGGCTCATCTATAAATATTTTCATAAAAATTACACCAAAAGACTCTCAAACTTCACGCTACACACACATACACAGTAGAAAGGTGGTTTAATTATATTTGATTTAAGCTGAGAGACATAAATTCTTGATCATGTATATTTGTATTCCAATGGATGTGAAAAAGAATTTAAGGTAGAAATTTGAAAATAGATATCCACAAACATATTGAGTGGTTTGTTTCTAACCTCATTCGATAAACCTCTGTTTGATAAGATAACAAGTATATGGAATAACAAGTGTTAGTGCATTTTTTTTATATATGGTACTTTAAAAAAAAAAAAAATGAATATGTATCAATGTTAAATGTTAAGATAAAAATAAAGAAAGACTTTTTTAAAATATAGGAAAGAATTTGTACCTAAGCAAAGTTTTCAATGATCTGATTTGATTTGATGCATCATTTTAAAGCAATGGTGTACTATATCAATGTGGTTATAGTTTCATATTATAATTTTTTAAGTTGTTTATTAATACAGCTTAATGAGACTAAGTTAGAGGTCTGATATGTTTCAATTAGGTCGAGGCAAAAGGAGAAATTGTAACATGCCGGCCTTTAACTAATTAAATATTCCAACCGGCGAGTTGTATTGACAAAATTCCTGAGCGTGAGGACGAGAAAGATAATATAACTAGGTTAGGCGAAATTTATTGCATTGTTCCCATGTGGATAGCTACATTTTCAAACCTTAATTAGATTATTGATTAATGGTAATATCCTCTACCCCCAGGCTTTGGATTAAAATTAATGACACCCCAAAAGTATAAAATAGATCTCACATATCTCTTCATATTTAAAAAAATTACACCACAAAAAAATTCTATGGAATTCAGTGGTCTAATAGATTATGTGTGGGCATGTTTAATTAGCTCTGTTAACTATATTTACATTGCGTAGGGACGGAATATAATTTTATTGTTAGGAGTGACCTTGCAACAATACTAAAACTTATATTCTCTATTAAAGATAGTAACCATAATTATAAAAATCTACACATGTAATTCTTCTAAAAATACAAAAGGTGAAAGTAGAAAGATATTAAGGGATGTATATAGCAAGTTCTAATTTGCTAGAAAACAAATCTTTCTCCAGGGTATCATAAAAATAAATATGAAAATTTAAGAGTTTAGAATTAAAATGTATATATTTTTAAGTTACTTGATTAAGCAAGCCTTAGAGTTAATACGAAATAAATAAAAATGTTTTTATGGGTGATCTTGTAAATGCTTGGGTGCACGTGATAGGCAGCAAAACCAAGGGGTTCAAAAAATTAATCCCCAATACGTAGTGGGATTAACAACTCCACCAAACTCCACTTCCATGCCATGCAGCAGTGGCTTCTGTTAAGAATATGGGTTATTTTGTTTTTGTTTATAAGGGTAGATCTGTTTTTCTTATTTCCTTTGTTTAGCCTATATATATCTTTGTATTTAGGTTAAATCATACTTTTTGTATTCATTGAATTGTGCAGTATCAATGAAACCCTAGCCTCTCTTTTTATTATTATTTTTGGATTGTTTAACATGGTACAAAGCAAATTTCATGGGACGCAGCTTAATCTCAAACATAGCTGCGCGGATCCAACTCCGCGGTGAGTTGGGTGGGGGTCTACAAGGGGCAGCGCGCAATCTGGTATTTCGTTGGTAGGGTTTCGTTCAGTTTCTGCAATCTGATATTTCGTTGGTATTCATTCAATTTCGGCAATCTGGTATTCGTTGGTATTCGTTCAATTTCGGCATCTGGTATTTCGTTTTCCTTCTTTGCATTTGGTTTTCTTGTTGTTTGAATATGGCATTGAAAGAGACGATTCGCTTCAGTCTGTAAGTGTCAGGTTAGATGACAAGATTATTCGTATTGGAGTTATGTGTGAGAAATTTTCTTAAGGGTAAAAAGATGTGGGATATGTTAGTGGAACTTCTGTGAAACTAAGAATACTGATGAGGGTTATGATGCTTTGATAGATGCCTGGGAAGCAAACAATGCAAAATATTACTTGGATTAACAATTCTGTTGGGCATTCCATAGGTACACAATTAGCGAAGTATGAGACAGCAAAGGAGGTTTGGGATCATCCACAAAGGTTATTTACTCAGTCAAATTTTGCAAAGCATTATCAATTGGAGAATGACATACGAGCTCTTCAGCAGAAGAATATGAGTGTGTCATGAGTTTTATTCTGCTATGACAGTCTTTGGGATCAATTGGCTCTTAAAGAATCTGCAGAATTAAAGGCATGTGGTACTATTGCTCATAGGGAGCAGCAACAGTTGGTACAATTTTTAACGGCACTTCGCAGTGATTTTGAAGGACTTAGAGGTTCAATTTGCATCGTTCTCCAATGCCTTCTGTTGACTCAGTTGTCAGTGAGTTATTGGCTAAAGAATACGTCTAAGTCTCATTCTAAAAAGGGAATCTTTCTGCTTCTACTTCTAATCGTTTTGTGTTAGCAGTACCTTCGAAGCCAGTCTTTAATAATCAGAATAAACTTACACAAGGGTTGCCTTCGACGAGTGCAGTTTGTAAGCACAAAGGTCATTGGAAGGCTCAGTGTCCTAAGTTAAGGCAACAAAATCAATCGCAGCAGCAATCTCAAGTTGGAAGCCTGGCAACCAGTCACAATCTAATGCTTATAGACCACCTCAGGGTTACAAACCACAAGTCTAATGCTGCAGCAATAGTTTTCATCAGGGCCTTTCATGATCCTAGTAATCTGGCAGCAATTTCAGAAGTTTCTCTCTTTACAGCACAAGCTATGTCTGCTCTTCTTCCGTAGGTCAGTTACCTCATAATTCTTCAGGGTGTCACATTCTGTATGGGTTTTGGATTCTGGTACTTCACATCATATGTCTCCAGATTCTTCATCTTTTGCTTCTGTGTCTCCTTTGTCTTCTATTCCTATCCTGACTGCTGATGGCATCATATGTCTTTAGTAGGTATTGGTTCTGTTGTCACACCTCACTTGTCTCTCTCTAATGTTGATATATTCAAAACTTACATTAAATCTTGCTTCTTGGTCAGTTATATGATTCAGGTAATTTAGTACCTTTTCCTCTTTTTGTAGTGCAGGATCTACAATCTCAGAAGCTAATTGGGACAGGCTGTAGGAAGGGGGAATATATTTTGGATGAGTTAAAAGTGTCAATTGCTGCTACACTAGTGCTGATGCTACCGCTACTAGTGTTGATTTGTCTTCTTTTCGTTTGAGTCCTTCTTCTTCTAGTTTTTATTATGGCATTCTCGTTTAGGTCATGCTTCATCTTTGTGTTAGGTCATGTTTCGTCTTCTTGTTGAGATTTGGCATCCACAGGGGCTTTAGGAATTTGCAAAATTGTGAATTCTCATTGTAGTGGATGTAAAATGGCAAAATTTTCAGCTTACCTTTAATGAAGTATTTCTGTTTCTTCTTCTCCATTGATTTGATTCATTTGATGTATGAGGACCTTCTCCTGTTGCCACAAAAGGAGGGTCTCGATATTATGTTTCTTTATTGATGATCATACTCGTTATTGTGGGTTTATTTAATGAAACATGTTCTGAATTTTTGAGATATATACAGCCTTTCGACTCTTGTCAAAACTCAAATATCTGCTATTATCAAATGTTTTAGGTGTGGATTTGGGTGGGGAATACACTTCTAATAAATTTTGTGAGTTGCTTGCATTAGATGGAACTGTTCACAAACCTCAGTACAGATACTCTTGAGCAAAATGGTGTTGCTGAAAGAAAACATAGGACATTGTGAAACTGCTCGGTCTCTTTATTGTCTGCCTCTGTTCCTAGTGTGTTTGGGGTGAAGCTGTTCTTACTGCTGTAGGTTTGATTAATACAATTCCATCTTCTCATATTTCAGGTTTTTCTCCTTTCAAAAAGTTGTATGGGTATGCCTGATTATTCTTCCTTTAAAGTTTTTTGTTGTACTTATTTAGTTCTCGTCCTCATGTAGAACGCAGCAAGTTGTCCTCTCGACTGCTATTTGTGTCTTTCTTGGTTATGGTGAAGGTAAAAAGGGTATCGTGTTTTGATCCAAACTCAGAAACTTTATGTGTCTCGTCATGTTGTTTCCGAGCATATACCTCTTTTTCTATTCCATCCACTACTCCTACCTTGATAGATCTGATCTAATGTTATAGATCCTTTTTAAGGATTCTGATAGTTTTTCATCTTAGGTTCAGTAACTGATCATTCTGTAGGTACTGACATTTACTCTCTAGCAAACCTGAAACTCCCTCTTCTCCTATGGTCACTCAAGCTTCGTCTGAGATTGTGGATTACCTCTACGTCAATCCATACGCACTCGTAAGTCACAAAGTTACTAGATTTTGATATTCTTGTTATTCTTCATCTTTGCTTTTTTTAGCTTCTATTCATTGTCTTCTGAGCCTCTTCCTATAAAGAGGCAATCTTGATCCTTTTTGGCAGCAGCTATGGATGAGGAACTTTCTGCTTTGCATAAGTAGGTATATGGGATTTGGTTCCTCTACCTCCTGGTAAGACTGTTGTTGGTTGTCGTTAGGTGGTTAAGATCAAGACTAATTCAATGGATTATTGAGCGATACAGCTAGGTTGGTTGCAAAAGGGTACTTCTAACAGTATGGTATGGATTATGAGGAGACATTTGCTCTGTTGCAAAAATGACTACTATTCGTACTCTTATTGCAGTAGCTTCGGTTCGTCGGTGGCATATCTCTCAACTTGATGTTAAAAACGCCTTCTTGAATGGAGATCTTCAAGAGAAGTTTATATGCGCCCTCCTGGTGTTTCACATGATTCTGGGTATGTTTGCAAGCTGAAGAAAGCGTTATATGGTCTTAAACAAGCACCTCGTGTTGGTTTGAGAAATTTTCTATTGTGATCTCTTCCCTTGGGTTTGCTTCTAGTAGTCATGATTCGCTCTTTTGTTAAGTGCACTGATGCAGGTCGTATCATTATGTCTTATATGTTGTAACATGTTATTACTGGTGATGATATTGATGGTATTTCAGTTTTGAAGACAGAGTTAGCTCAACAGTTTGAAATGAAGGATTTGGGTTCTCTACAATATTTCTTGGGTATTGAGGTAGCCTACTCACCTAGAGGTTATCTTCTCTCTCAGTCAAAATATGTTGCAGATATTCTTGAGCGGGCTAGACTTACTGATAATAAGACTGTTGATAATCCAATTGAGGTTAATGCAAAGTATTCTTCTTCTGATGGTTTACCTTTGTTAGATCCTATTTATACCGTACTGTTGTTGGGAGTTTGGATATCTCACTATTACTCGTCTCTAGATATTGCATATGCTGTTCATGGGTTAGTCAGTTTGTTGCTTCCTACTACAGTTCATTGGGCAGCTGTTCTTCGTATTTTGCAGTATCTTCGAGACCGTCTTTCAGAGTCTTTTACTTCCATCCACTCTTCCTGGAGCTGCGTGCATACTCTGATGCTGATCATGGCAGTGATCCTACGGATGCAAGTCTGTATGGTTTCTGTATCTTTTTGGTTGATTCTCTTATTTGGAAGAGCAAGAAACAATCCATGTTTCAATCTTCAACGAAGCAGATATCGTGCTATGGCATCTAATACCAAAAAGATTGTTGGTTACGTTGGTTACTTGCAGAGATGGGCGTTTTTTTTCTCATCCCACTCCCATGTATTGTGACAACCAGAGTTCTATTCAGATTGCTCACAACTCGGTTTTTCAGAACGAACTAAGCATATTGAGATCGATTGTCATCTACCGTCATCATCTCAAGCATGGCACCATTACCTTGCCTTGTTTTCTTCTTGCAGATTGCAGATTTCTTTACCAAGTCGATTCTATTTCCCATTTTCGTTTCTAGTTAGCAAACTCTCGATGCTTGTAGCCGCCGCATCGTGAGTTTGAGGGGAGTGTTAAGAAATTGGGTTATTTGTTTTATTGTTTATAAGGGTAGATCTGTCTTTTCTTATTCTTTTGTTTAGCCTATATAATCTTTGTATTTAGTGTAAATCATACTTTTTGTATTCAATTAAATTGTGCAGTATCAATGAAACCTAGCCTCCTCTTTTTATTATTATTCTTTGGATTGTTTAACAGCTTCGTCAATCTAATGTAGCCAATTTGATAGAAATAGCTATGCTGTTCATTTTATCATAGACATGATTTTTTTCTTCCTTATATCCTTGTTCCGTTAAGATTTCTTTTATAAATTAAAAATAAACAAAGATGAAAAATTTGACTTTTTTAAATATAGGAGAAAAAACATTGTACCTAAGCAAAGTTGTTAATGCAATTTTATTTGATTTGATAACATCATTTTAAAGCACGGGGTGTACCATATTCCAATGTGGTTATTGGTCACGACCACTCAAAATGGAACTAAATATTTTAGGTTGGATCAAATAATACAACATTGTGCATATATATTTTAAAGCATGGGGTAACACCAACTTCACTTGCATGGTCATGCAGCTTAGTCGTAGTAAACATTTAATAGATTTTGTAGTGGACATGTTTATTTAGATCTTTATATCTATCTTTATTCCAATTTTTTTTTTTTTTTTCCCTCTACTTTAGGATCGCATTTAACAGGAAATGGGCGGTTGAGTAGAAAATAGTGCAACTCTCAAACCCTAAACAAACTTTTTTTATTACTTTAATTCTATATCGTATTCTATTTCCATAATACAAAGTTTCTCTTAAAATTATTATTGATTTAAATAATTATTCATTAACAGTTATCATTCATCCATCATAAATTTATAATATTTAGACTAGCTCTTTGCCTTCGTCACTCATTACAAGACACATTGACTAGGACACTTATTTTTAAAGGCATTATGGAATCATTTGTGTTTTATTAGAATCAAATAAGTGGTACATTTTCATTTTTTTTTAAGTTTTAATGGAAAGTATGATCATAAAAATTGATCGCAATCTGATTGAAATACCTACCCCCTTGTCATTTTATCATGATATGAATTTTTTTTTTTCCTTCCTGATAAATATCCTTTTTTGTCAAGATTTCTTTATAAAAAAATAAAGAAAGACGAAAAATATGACTTTTTAAATTATTGGAGAAAAAACATTGTACCTAAGCAAAGCTGTTAATAAAATTTATTCGATTCGGTAATGTATTTTAAACCATGGGGTGTACCATATTCCAATGTGGATATGTGTCTCAGCCACTCAAAGTGGAACTAAATTATTTTGGGTTGGGTCAAGATAATCACAATTTATTATGACTATAGTTCATTATGACTTATTGTTCATTGCTATAACATTTGATTATTTTTTAATCACCACCATTTGCATCTTTGAGTTGGCATATTTAAATTTATTACCTTTTTTTTTTCCTTTCATTTCTATTTTTAAAATGTTTTGCTGATATGGTAGTACCACGTTGATTATAAGTAAATTACTCTCTATCCCTATCTAAAATTAATGCGGTACCAATACATAAACAAAATTGTTGATATTTTCTATTACTTGATTAGGCAAGCCTTGATAAAACAAATAGAAGTTGTGTTATGAGGATCTTGTAAATGGTTGGGTGGACGTGATATGTAGCAAAACTAAAGGGCTCGACAACGACCTCCAATCACGTAGTGGGGTTAACAACTCCACCAACTCCACTTGCATGGCCATGCATGTCTTCGTCGTCTTTGATGTAGTAAGAACGTTATTTAGGCACTAGCTTAATATACTTAGAGAAAAGTTGTGACTCTTTATGATCACTTAAAGTTTAACACTTTATGAAGTTGATTAACATAAGCGAAATGGGTTAACATATCATTTATGGTTTTGTGTGGCTTATTTAACACAATATAAATAGTGCATCCAAGACAAAAAAAAAAAAAAAAAAAAAAAAAACACAAGAACATTACATAGTTCGGCAACCTGCCTATATCCATAAAACCAAGTCTAGATGAAGCTAATTATTATAGTAGATATTTATAGTGATTACAAAGTCAAAGTTAAACATCAATTGCAAAAAAACTCCCTATTATGACAAAGCCTTCAATTTTATATTTTGATGTACTTCGAACTACCAAGCTAGCTCACTCCACAAGACCATCTGGTCACCCTTGAGCCCTTCTCAAGGTTCAACATCAAAGAGGCACTTAAGTTGTTAATATTTTTTTAATTTATATTTTTTAAGAATGTAGCTTTTGAGTATAAGTATGATTTCCTTTTATTTATTTGAATATTTTAAATAATCTCTTGGTTTCCTTAACAGAAAACAAATTAACAATTTGTATTGTAACGGGCATTAAAATAGGAGATCATAATTGACAAGTGAAACTATAATATTTTTAATTTTATATAATAAAAGTTTAGTTAGAAATTAAAAGGTTTAAATTAGCATTAAATTTAATTGATTTTAAAAATAATCTAATTTGGACCACAATGACTGGCACAATTACTTCTGTGTGGCTCAAGGGCTAGGCAACGAAGGCCTTAGGCCTCCCCTAAAGTCAAGGCCTCATAAAAAAAATACATGTGTTCACAAATTTTATATTTACTATTTTCTTTCTTGAATTAAGAAAAAATGTAATGTACTTAATTTTTTAAATACGACCGACTACTGTTTTTTTTTTTTCTTATATTATATATAATGGTCAAATTCTTATTTATGTTTTCCTTTATAATAAATACAGTATATCATTAAAGTATTTTCAAATTAAATGTTAATTAAATTTTCTTAAACTCTTTCTAAGAGTAGAATTGTGACTTTCATTCTCTTCTATGAAGATCAATAGAAGGAAAAAAAATCACATTTTCTTTTTCCTTTTTTTTTCTTCATAATATCCTTAAATACTATAGTCATTCTAATACTATATTAAAATTTCATGACATCCTAATTACTTAATAATTTCATACATATACATATTAGTATCAAAGCCTAAAAAATTTTATATATAACAAACTTATATATCTATTTGCCTATAGTTTTAATCAAATTTAAGGATATTGTTTTCTTATAAATAATAAAGTCCCGGTACATATTGTTTTTTAATATTTTTATTTTGTTAAATGTTAAATGTTAAAGTGCGGCAATGTCATTTTCTTGCTCTATTATTTTCAAGGCACTATGTGAATCATTTGATTTTAATTAGAATTAAATCAAGTGGTTAAATTTTCAATAATTTTTTCTTATGACTTAATGTTAAAAGTACTGTTTGTGAAATGATCCAGTCAATCTGACTCAAAATACCTACCCCCTTGTCATTATCATAGTGCTTATAAAAAGTATGATATTTTTTCTTTCTAATAAATATCCTCATTCCGTCAAGATTTCTTTTATAAAAATAATAATACAGAAGATGAAAAAATTATGATTTTTTAAATTATAGGAGAAAAAATATTGTACTAAGCAAGTTGTTAATAAAATTACTTTTATGAAATGATCTAACCAATGATTCGAAATAATTATGACTTTTTAAAATTATTGGAGAAAAAATATTACCAAGCGAAGTTGTTAATAAAATTTTATTTTATTGGTAACATAATTTTAAAGCATAGGGGGTATCATATTCCAATGTGGTTATGGCACGGACACTCAAAGTGGAAGATTGTTGTAGCCTGTATGAGTGAAAATAAAAGAGAGAAGAATTGATAATAGCGAATATATCGATGGACTTCAATGAAGATAGCAATGACCTGATTCTTTTTATTTTTAGTATTATTTAATAACTCCTTTTTGTTTATGCTTTTTGCAGAATATATTTCATTGATGATTAAATTTCAATCCCTAACTGAAAACTAGATCAAAGAATAAAAAAAAATTCATACCAGTTGCAAAAGCGTATTGTAGTGCAAATGGAGAATGGGAAATTGCAAAAAGAATTAACAATCGGGAGGATTGGAGTGGACGCACAACTTTTCTCTGGTTTCCCAAATGCCCAAATCGCAAACAAAAAATTTAGTTTTTGTGTTACACGTAAAATTTCAAAACCCCCTCACATTAAATGAAACTACAATGCACTACCGGTTCTACCTAATACTCGATGTAGTTCGATTCGGTTCCCGATTCTTGTAGGGTGGAATCAGAGATTCTAGTTTCTAGAAGAGGAACCGACCCTATGAGGGCCGGTTCTGAGTAGGAACCACAACCGGAAGCTTGGGTACCCACCGGTGTTGGTTTCGGCCAGTTATTTTTGCGCACACCTAAGCCTTAGGGGACTCTGAAGTCTAAATGTTAATTCATGTGTTGTGTTTGTTGTGTTTGGGGAATGTTAAGCATTTGGGAGACTCTAAAGTTGAATGTGAATTCAAGTGTTGTTATGTTGTTGTTTTAGCATTTGGGAGACAGTTGTTTTGATTGTGTTTGTTTAATGTTTTTCATGTGATGTGTTGCACTGTTACTGGAGAATCAGTATGAGATTGCATTTGTCATGTTGATGTTAATTAATGTGATACTACTGCACATCAAATTCTAGACTGTTGTTTGCAAAATGCAAATTACTGCAATTTTGCAAAGCAATGTTGTGGACTCCAGTTGCAGTTTGCAAACTGCAATGGTCTGGACTGCAGTTTGTAAACTGCAAATTGCACATTAAATTTTTAAAATGAAAATAATTAAAGTATATGATTTCGTTTATTACAGAATAACTGTCTTGCTTGCCTTAAAATACAAAACTTACGAATACTGTTTAACCAAAACAGAATAAAGTCTA